TCTCTCGGTATCCCTGCAGCAGTTGAGTAGCCTCGCCTTTCTCCAGGTGGTCTAAATTTTGCCCCAAGCTTACTTGGTCAATAGTACAGGGGGTGGTATCCAGTAAGTCAGGGAGGGGTAGCCCTTCACTATCCTCTGTGGCGGGGGCGCACACGGCGCCCACCTCCTCTGTCCTTTCAAAATATGGTTTGAGCATGTTCACATGGAAGGCTTTGGTCAGCCTTTCATCTGAGCATTTGCTCACGATGTAGGTAGTCTCGCTAACCTGTTCCACTACCTTAAAGGGTCCCTGCCAGGCTGCTTGCAGCTTGTCCTTTTTAACGGGCCTCAGAGCCAGTACCTTCTGCCCTAAGTCCAGCACTCTATCCTGGGCCCTCCTATCGTACCACTTTTTCTGGTCCTCCTGGGCCGCCTGCAGGTTCTCCCGAACCGATTCGGTGAGGGCCCGCAGACGGTCCCGGAACTCCAGGACATACTGGACGATAGGGACTCCCCCCTCATCTGTATTGCCCTCCCAGTGTTCCCGTACGAGCTCCAGTGGGCCCCGAACTTTTCTCCCGTACAGGAGTTCGAAGGGGGAAAACCCAGTGGAGGCCTGGGGCACCTCACGGTAGGCAAACAGAAGGTGGGGAAGGAATTTTTCCCAATTCTTGTGGGACTCTGTAAAAGTTTTTAGCATCTGTTTTAGAGTGCCATTGAAACGTTCACAGAGCCCGTTAGTCTGGGGATGATACGGGGCGCTGAACAGGGGTTGCACTCCACAGCTCTGCCACAGTTGTTGCGTCAGGGTAGCTGTGAACTGCGTCCCCCGATCGGAGAGTATCTCCTGCGGGAAACCTACTCGGGTGAATATCTGAATAAGGGCCTCTGCCACGGTCTCGGCCTCTATATTGGTGAGGGCGACTGCCTCCGGGTATCTAGTGGCGTAGTCAACCACCGTTAGGATAAACTTTTTGCCCGACGGACTGGGGCGACTGAGGGGACCTATTAAATCCACCGCTACTCGGTGGAAGGGCTGTTCGATGATGGGTAGGGGGTGAAGCTTAGCCTTCCGAAGGTCTCCCCTTTTTCCTACCCTTTGGCATACATCACATGTCCTACAATAGTACTTTAGGTCCTGGGTAGCTCTGGGCCAGAAGAAGGTTTGAGTTAACCTGTCTCTGGTCTTTTTGACCCCTAAATGTCCTGCTAGGGGAATGTCATGACTGAGTTTTAACAACTCAGCCCGAAATTTACGGGGCACAACTAACTGTCTTTTTATGACCTGGGTAGCCCCCTGTCCCACCCCCTCGGTTACCCTATATAGCAACCCCTTATACCACTCAAATTTTTCGTGCGGGTTGTTCTCGGGGGTAGCGGCCGCGGCCTTCCTATAGCCTTCTAATGTGGGGTCAGTACGCTGTTCCTGTTCAAACCCCTGGGGGGTATCCCAGAAGGGTACGGGGGGATCGGGTAAAGGGGGTATTTCGACTCTTACCTGGTTCTCCTCAGAGTGCAGCGGAGCTTCCAGTCTGGCTTGAGCTCGGGTGGTAACCGGGTAGGCCTCGGCAGGGGGGTCTCGGGCTAGTTGAGAGGTTAGGCATCCCACATCATTTCCCAACAAAACCTCGGCGGGCAGTTCTTGCATAATCCCCACCTCCAGTTGTTTAGACCCGGAACCCCAATCAACAAACATATTAGCGGTGGGCAGTTTGTGAATAGCGCCCCCAGCCACCCTTACAGCGACTGTGCGTCCGGTGCGAGCTTGTGCTCTGACCGTGTGGGGCTGTACCACAGTCAAAGTAGCCCCAGAGTCTCTCAGCGCCCGGGCCCCCACGCCATCGACGGTAATCCATTGGCGGTGGTGGTCCCGGTTGTCCCCCCCAGCTTGTACTGGATTGACCTCATGTAATACACTCCACTGTTCTTCGTGGTTAAGGGCAGGGCCTGTGTGTTCCTGTTGCACACAGTGAGCAGCTGCCCTGGGTTGTTGTGGGGCTGGCCGTTCCCAGCTTCCCCGGTTTAAGCGAGGGCACTGATGCTTGTAATGTCCTGGTTGCTTGCAGTAGTGACACACTGCAGGAGGTCGAGGTGTGTTTGCTGGGTTCGGTGGGGGGTGACCTATGGCAGGTCTAGGTGGAGCCGGGTTTGTTGGAGCTGTGTACTGAGGCTTAAATGGTGGTCTGCTCGCCCCTGGCTCCTTCCTCCTGTTATCCTGGTACTCGTCCGCTAGCCTAGCGGCCTCCTCCACGGTTTTTGGTTTCCTATCTTTTACCCAGTCTTTTATGTCCTCTGCAGTATGATTAAAAAATTGCTCCAGTATCACTAGTTGCAAAGCTTCTTCTAGG